TTTACTCTTATGCGTACACGCGGAAAGCGATAAGACCTCAAACGGGTGTGAGCTCCTCTTTTATCATTTTCGGAGAGGAGCCCACCCTGCGTGAAGCGCCAATTTTTGCGTGATTTTAAAGTGGCGCATGCTCAATAGCATATAATTATTCGGCGGAACGGTTGCGACACCGTTACTTGTTTGTGTATTTGAGCGTTTTTTTATATGACAGCTGTCATTTACGACTCCTTTTTATTCCATTACAAACAAATGTGACTTTATTATTGCCGATCGAAGATTCTAGAATTTAACAATAACTATTTTCGAGATCGAACCTTGTCTCGACTGAAAACGTATAATATATGAAATCCTAATTACATTTTACTGCCGAAATAATTTAACTGGCGATAAGAATTATTTTGCATCTCAAACATAATGTGTGCAATTAATTGTTAAATGATGGTACGTAACTGAGTGAATATTTTCATCTCTTGACATTATAACGTGGCCTCATCATCCTGGTCTCCCTTGGAGATGCCATATGGTGTATGAAGCCTTTGGAGGCTACTGGTGGTTCATGTGAAGCTATTTCTTTATTGTCATCCCGATGACCTGCAAAAGATAAGTGTCTACATATATGTCTGGTGGTTGTTTTTAGTTTATATATGGGCATGCAGAGTCACTGAGAATAGCTCTATAAACCCATAATAATAATAATAATCATATAATTGACTTATTGATAAAATATTCATACATAGACAATGAATAGAAACAAGTTATGTGATAGACTTATAAATAGTCAGTTAAACATTTTGTTTAATTTTAATAATATTATAAATTTAAATTAAATTGCAAATTCGTTAATTGTGTTTGGGAAACTCTCTGACGTTTGAATTCTCGCGTCTTATTCGCCTCCGCGAGTGACGCGTAGCGCGCCGGAAGAAGAGGCGCTACGAGAGGCCGTTAGTGCCTAAGACGAACGCTTGAGGCGCTAGCCTCTTCCTTCGTCGTCCCGCTAAGCCGAGTCGGCTTCTGTTCGCGATCCTCTCTTGAAAAAAAAAAAACAAACGTGTATCGTTGCTTAGGAATCCTTGTTGGTCGATTCTCTACTGTCCGTGGAGACGCTTAAGTTCAGTGATAAAAAGGTTTCCGTTCGGTTCAGACATTGAGGAGAGATTGATTTGAATATATAATTCTTTTGGAAAACTACGAGCTTGGACGCTTTGGAACCTTTAAGGTTAACTATGAGATGGGACATATCTCTTGGTTTGGAGGACAAATTCCCTTGAGTTCGCCTGATGAGGAAAGAAAAAGAGCCGTTCGTATTCTTAATTAAAAGGATTCGACAAGGTAACAAGTCTTCAAGAGACTGGCCTAGCCAGGATTCTATTAAACTGGCCTAGCCAGGATTCTTTCAAGACTGGCCTAGCCAGGATTCTATTAAGACTGGCCTAGCCAGGATTCTTTCACGACTGGCCTAGCCAGGATTCTATTAAGACTGGCCTAGCCAGGATTCTTTCAAGACTGGCCTAGCCAGAATTCTATAAGACTGGCCTAGCCAGGATTCTTTCAAGACTGGCTTAGCCAGGATTCTATTAAGACTGGCCTAGCCAGGATTCTTTTAAGACTGGCCTAGCCAGGATTCTATAAGACTGGCCTAGCCAGGATTCTTCAAGACTGGCCTAGCCAGGATTCTATTAAGATTGGCCTAGCCAGGATACTAAATCATTCACATCTATTTAACGTATTGAATCTATTCGCTGCTACGATACCTTTGTCTGGTTGACGTACTAATTTATATGTTTATAAAATACTAACGTCACTTATGGTTTGTTATCTCACCAAACTCATGTTTTGATTTGACGTCTTGATTTATATATGTTTAATTCTCAAGTTGATTTGACGTCTTGATTTATATATGTTTAATACTGTTGTTTGATTTGACGCCTTGCTTTTTTATGTGTTTAATACTTATGTTTGGTTTGACGTCTTGATTTAAATTAGTTTAATACTTATGTTTGATTTGACGTCTTGATATATATATGTTTAATATTTATGTTTGATTTGATGTCATGTTTTATATATGTCTAATCCTTATATTTTATTTGACGTCATGAAATTATCATATCTTTAAGACATTTATGTTTGACTGAATTAAATGAAATTCTATATACCGTTCAGATATTCTGTTTTCTACATTTAACGGTGACTTATTAATTGGATATAATATCTATTATATTCCTTAAGCGTTAATATATATATATATATATGTGAAGATTTGATCATAATGAGTAAAGTTGATAGTATGTTTCTCTCACAATAAATTTCTGTTATTATATTTTATAAAAGTCCACCAACTCCCTAAGTATATCCGGAACATTTGGTCCTTCGAGCCGGATACTTAGGTGAGCCAGATATTTATGTAAGCCGGATTTTATATGAGAACTGGATAATTTGGTTGAATTGGAAATACCATCAAAGGATTAATACCACCGATAATCTATCTTCAAGCATCATGAGGATTTCTCACGTGGAAGCTCGCATCGAGCAGCAGATATCTTTGAGTGCCCTGATCTTTCAAGCAATTGAAAGCTTCAATAAAATTCCAACGACTGACATCACTTCAAGGCTGATTAAAGCTCGTGTTACAGCTTTAAATGAGAATTGGGAAAAATTCTCTATTGTTCATGAAGCAGTTATTGTAGCTGTCAATCAGCTCAGTACAGAAGACAACGAGTTGATTCGAAATCACACTTATTTTGAAGAGGATTGCTATGCTCGAACGTATGAGCAATATCTGGACTCTCTGGACAAGATGAACGCTCATCACGACTCGGATTTTACTATTCCAAGGACATCTTCAACTCAATCTCTCTCTCAACCTGTATCTAACAACTGGCTGTTTCTCATCACACAAGACTCCCTCGAATCGACCTGCCGAAATTCAGTGGAAATGCTTCCGAATGGATGTCCTTCAAAGATCTATTTTCTTCATCATTATTGGAAATATAAGCCTAAGTCCGGTCGAAAAGTTGCAATATTTAAAAGCCAGTCTGACTGGCACTGCAGCTTATCTCCTCAAGAACACGGCTCTTACTGCGGATAATTTCCAAAAGGCTTGGACCGATCTGATCTCGTTTTATGAAAACAAACGACTACTTGTAAATTCAGCAATTCAATCGTTGCTCTCCCTCAAGAAGATCGCGAAGGAATCCTCCAGTGAGCTCGAGCGTCTTTACACCAACATCATGCAAATTTATCGCTCACTAGAGACGCTACAACGCCCAGTTGAACACTGGGATGATTTTCTAGTGTTCCTAACCGTTCAAAGGCTGGATGCCGAATCCGTTAAAGTCTGGGAGCATCATCTCGGTTCCACAAAAGAACCTCCGACTTGGAAACATCTGTGTGAGTTTCTTGTTACTCGCCTTCTCTCTTTGCAGGCCTTTGAAAATTCGCAAAACTTGCCAATAAAAAAGAAAATCCCATCGCAAGCAGTTAAGGCCTATCATCAGATTCAAAAGAAAATTAATGGCTCACAATTCTCCTCATGTATCGTGTGCTCTGCCAAACATTTCTTGAGCGTTTGCCCTCAATATACCTCTCAAACTACGCAGCAACGACACTCTCTAATCACAAAGCTAGGATTATGTTACAATTGTTTGGGGAAACATCGAGTTTCAAAATGTCAATCAACTCGACGATGTCTTAAGTGTGGTAAGAAGCACCACACTACGATTCACCAAAAAACACCTCCCAAGATGGAAAGTCAATTTAAACACCCATTGGTTAAACCATCCACCGAAACTTCAGGCAAGACCACTCCCTCGCAAGTATTGCATGCCGCTGTACATGCTAATCAGGCGTCTATGTGCACTCTTCTCGCCACCGCTCAAATGTTAATTGCCAACGAAAATGGACGTATCATGAAGATCAAAGCCCTTATAGATCAGGGATCGGAGATCAACATCATTTCGGAAAAAATTGTCCAAGCTCTCAAGCTTCCTCGCTCCAAATCAAGTATTTCCCTGATAGGTGTCGGGGAACATTCTACTAACAAGACTCGTGGCATCACTTTTTTCAAGATTATTTCTCTCCATGATTCATCAGAAGAATTCCACATATCAGCGCATATTCTCCCTAGCTTAACGAGTTCGATCCCGTCAAGTAAAGTCTCCGGAGAATCCTGGTCACATCTGGATGGATTGCCTTTAGCCGATTTTCAATATGGAATTCCCAGTTCGATTGATCTAATCATCGGTTCCAATTGTTACCCTCAGATCATTAAGGACGGTTTAATCAAAGGTCCGCCGAATACGCCTATTGCACAATTAACCTCGTTTGGTTGGATCCTCTCCGGCCCCGCTTCATCGGAATCGACGAATCGTTCTATGCGAAGTTACCATATTCAATGGATTCCCGCTTATATGACCTTCTCCATCGTTTTTGGCAACTTGAAGAAATTGGTGCACGCCAAGAATCCTTCATCTCCCCGGAAGATCAACAATGTGAGCAACACTTTAAAGATACCCACTCTCGGAACGATCAAGGACGGTATGTGGTGCGTCTGCCCTTCAAGAAGCCTCCTCAACGTTTAGGAAACTCTTATAATCGAGCTTCAAGAATGATGGATTCTCTGCGAAATCGGTTTCAAGTGAACGCAAAATATGCGGAAGCCTATTTCAAATTTATGAGGGAATATGAAGACCTCCAGCATATGAAATTAATAACCGATGTAAATGAAGAACTTTTACCTCCCAATTTTTATCTTCCTCATCATGGAGTGTGGAGGGAGAGTAGTACAACTACGAAACTACGAGTCGTGTTCAATGGATCAAGTCGTACAACATCCGGAATTTCTCTAAATGAGATATTGCATACAGGCCCAAAGCTTCAAGTGGATTTATTCAACGTTCTTATTTGGTTTCGGCAATTCCAATACGTCTTTTCTGCTGATATAGAAAAGATGTATAGGCAAATCCAAGTACACCCCGACGATTGGAGATTTCAACGCATCCGATGGTCGAATTCAGACAAGGATGTCAACTCTTTTGAGCTCACCACTGTTACTTATGGATTGGCTTGCGCGCCTTATTTAGCGCTTCGTACCATTACTCAGCTTATTGAAGATGAGGGAACCAATTTTCCATCAGCAGTTCCTTGCCTAAAACACGGACGATATATCGACGACATTTTCGGAGGAGCAGAATCAATTGGTGAGGTCCATGAAATCATCAATCAACTTAACCAGTTGTGCAAGGCGGGCGGCTTCCCGCTACAAAAGTGGTCTAGTAATCACGCTCATGTACTCCATCATCTACCACCAGAACGGTTGAGAAATCCGGATCCAATACCTTTTGATTTGGACTCCTGTGTAGCAGTACTTGGTCTACAGTGGAAGCCTACTGCCGACTACTTTCAATTTAGTCTAGATCGACCTTCTACGGCCACTATCACCAAACGAACGATATTATCCACGATTGCTAAGCTCTTCGATCCGCTTGGACTACTCTCACCTGTAATCATCAAAGCCAAAATACTTATTCAAGAATTGTGGATCAACAAACTCGATTGGGATGCGTTGTTACCAAGCACTTTGGCAAATCAGTGGATAACTTTCGTTGAGGAATTAGAAGACCTCAAATTCATCAATATTCCTCGTTGGCTTGGCATCAAATCGGATAATCAAGTTCAATTACACGGATTTTGCGATGCATCTAATCAAGCTTTCGCAGCAGTAATCTACCTCCGAACCGTGAACCTTGAAGACCAGATTAACGTTTGCCTAATTGCCACTAAAACGAAGGTAGCGCCTTTGAAGCGTCTTACCATTCCCAGATTAGAACTATCAGGAGCAGTACTTCTCACCAAACTAACCACGCACGTCCGTGATGTTCTCAACTTGAAGGACGTTCCTATTTACTTGTGGACGGACTCATCCATCACTCTAACCTGGATTCAGAACCATCCATCCCGATGGAAAGATTTTATTCAAAATCGTGTAGTTCAAATACAAGAAACACTACCTCAAGCTAAGTGGAAATTCGTTCCCGGCAAGGAGAACCCAGCTGATTTCGCCACCAGAGGTTTGTCGCCATCAAAACTCGCGTCCCAAACCATCTGGTGGAAAGGACCATGTTGGCTTTCACAATCGATTGATTGTTGGCCAGATTGCTTCCCTTCAACTGCTACCTCGGATAATCTTGAAGAAAGACCCACCAAAGTTTATTCACTCATAACCATTGAACCGCAACCCCCATGGGATTTGTTAACAAGATATTCCAATCTCAATAAGCTCTTACGCATTACGGCTGTGTGTCAGAGAGCAGTTGAACGATTTAAACGGATCAAAATTAGTCCAAGAGAACTCCTCAGCACGACTGAATTAGAGTCCGCTAAACTCTATTGGATCAACAGCATTCAACGGCAACACTTCGCTCATGAAATCAAGCTTTTATCACGAGGAGAGTTCCTTCCTAAGTCGAACCCACTCACCAAATTGACTTCATACATTGACGCATCCGGGCTCTTAAGAACGGGTGGTCGGCTTCAGAATTCAACGTTACCTCCAGAAAGGAAACATCTTCTAATCCTCCCAAAGCAATCGCCATTAACGGAGCTCATTATCCAAGATGCTCATCTGAGAACTTGCCACGGAGGTACACAAGTAACGTTAACCCTCCTGCGAGATTCTTACTGGATCATTGGAGGTCGGTTGCCGATAAAAAATTTTATCCTGCGTTGCGTCATTTGCACAAGATACAGACAAAAGAGAGCGCAACAGCTCATGGGACAGCTTCCGCCTGAACGAGTAACACCGACTTCACGCCCATTCATCAACACCGGAATTGACTACGCTGGCCCCCTTCTCATCAAGACCTGGAGAGGAAAAAATGCGCGGCAGTACAAAGCTTACATTGCCGTATTCGTTTGTTTTGCCACATCAGCAACACACCTCGAACTTGTTTCAGATTATTCCGCTGACGCCTTTATAGCAGCATATAAAAGGTTTACTGCTCGACGAGGAATCTGCGTTAACTTGTTCAGTGATTGCGGTACTAATTTGATAGGAGCTGACACGGAGCTAAAGAAATTACTCTCTGAAGCATCTCAAGAACATAAACAATTGGCCTCCCTACTCACCCAAGACGGAACACAATGGAATTTCAACCCGCCTAGTGCTCCTCACTTTGGCGGCAAGTGGGAAGCAGCCGTGAAATCGGTTAAGTTCCACTTAAAGAGAGTCCTTGGTAATCACTTGCTTACCTTCGAGGAAATGACAACACTTTTAACTCAGATCGAAGCGGTTCTGAACTCAAGACCTTTGTCTCCTCTTTCTGACGATCCAGAAGACTTAGCCGCATTAACACCTGGACATTTCATCCTAGGACACGCACCTACAGTTCTACCAGAGCCTTCGCTTGAACACATTAATTTGTCACGCCTATCCAGATGGCAATTGTTACGACAAATGCTGGAAAGTTTCTGGTCCCGATGGTCTAAAGAATGTCTTCAACGGTTTCACGACACCTCTAAATGGAGTCATCCGACACCCTCTTTGAAGAACGGAGATATGGTACTAGTAGTCGACGAAAGGTATCCACCTTCCAAATGGCCTCTAGGTCGGATCGTTGACACACATCCCGGAAAAGACGGCCTTACTCGAGTAGTCACGGTAAAGACTCAAACTACCATGTTGAAACGACCCGTCGTCAAACTCTGCCCATTGCCCATACACCAAGATCCTTTGTTGGTTCGTTAAGCCGAGTTAACGAAGGCGGGCGGTAATGTTTGGGAAACTCTCTGACGTTTGAATTCTCGCGTCTTATTCGCCTCCGCGAGTGACGCGTAGCGCGCCGGAAGAAGAGGCGCTACGAGAGGCCGTTAGTGCCTAAGACGAACGCTTGAGGCGCTAGCCTCTTCCTTCGTCGTCCCGCTAAGCCGAGTCGGCTTCTGTTCGCGATCCTCTCTTGAAAAAAAAAAACAAACGTGTATCGTTGCTTAGGAATCCTTGTTGGTCGATTCTCTACTGTCCGTGGAGACGCTTAAGTTCAGTGATAAAAAGGTTTCCGTTCGGTTCAGACATTGAGGAGAGATTGATTTGAATATATAATTCTTTTGGAAAACTACGAGCTTGGACGCTTTGGAACCTTTTAAGGTTAACTATGAGATGGGACATATCTCTTGGTTTGGAGGACAAATTCCCTTGAGTTCGCCTGATGAGGAAAGAAAAAGAGCCGTTCGTATTCTTAATTAAAAGGATTCGACAAGGTAACAAGTCTCTCAAGACTGGCCTAGCCAGGATTCTATTAAGACTGGCCTAGCCAGGATTCTTTCAAGACTGGCCTAGCCAGGATTCTATTAAGACTGGCCTAGCCAGGATTCTTTCACGACTGGCCTAGCCAGGATTCTATTAAGACTGGCCTAGCCAGGATTCTTTCAAGACTGGCCTAGCCAGAATTCTATTAAGACTGGCCTAGCCAGGATTCTTTCAAGACTGGCTTAGCCAGGATTCTATTAAGACTGGCCTAGCCAGGATTCTTTTAAGACTGGCCTAGCCAGGATTCTATTAAGACTGGCCTAGCCAGGATTCTTTCAAGACTGGCCTAGCCAGGATTCTATTAAGATTGGCCTAGCCAGGATACTAAAGTCATTCACATCTATTTAACGTATTGAATCTATTCGCTGCTACGATACCTTTTGTCTGGTTTAACGTACTAATTTTATATGTTTATAAAATACTAACGTCACTTATGGTTGTTGATCTCACCAAGACTCATGTTTTGATTTGACGTCTTGATTTATATATGTTTAATTCTCAAGTTTGATTTGACGTCTTGATTTATATATGTTTAATACTGTTGTTTGATTTGACGCCTTGCTTTTTTATGTGTTTAATACTTATGTTTGGTTTGACGTCTTGATTTAAATTAGTTTAATACTTATGTTTGATTTGACGTCTTGATATATATATGTTTAATATTTATGTTTGATTTGATGTCATGTTTTATATATGTCTAATCCTTATATTTTATTTGACGTCATGAAATTATCATATCTTTAAGACATTTATGTTTGACTGAATTAAATGAAATTCTATATACCGTTCAGATATTCTGTTTTCTACATTTAACGGTGACTTATTAATTGGATATAATATCTATTATATTCCTTAAGCGTTAATATATATATATATATATGTGAAGATTTGATCATAATGAGTAAAGTTGATAGTATGTTTCTCTCACAATAAATTTCTGTTATTATATTTTATAAAAGTCCACCAACTCCCTAAGTATATCCGGAACAAATTGAAACGTCAAGTTCTATATTATTATCTAATATAAGTTATAAATTCTATTTCTACAAATAGTCATAGACTGACACTAAAATTCTTACATTATTGGCACGTGTGGGGTATTACGGTACTGTATTCCTTATACTCATGCTTGGTGCCTCAATTGTGTGCCTTTAGTCGGTTGTCGACATTTCATACACTGTTGTGCCTGCATAAATGCATGGATACATATAAGTGACTGACATGTGATACTTAAACAATAATCATACGTGTTTCGCTGCGTAACTTTATATTATATCAATATTGATAGTTATTAACTGTTCCTACAATAACATCGACTAGTAATGTTTAAGTTTATAATTTTCCTAATTAATCTAAAACTGAGTTAAAAGTATTACGATAACCGGATATTATTAAATAGCATAAAATTTGCAAGTGGAACAACCATTTCTTATGTGTTATTAAACACTAATTATTTTACGATATTAATTTCAAATCATCTTAGCTATTATTAATAATATTTGAAACAGCTTATCTTGAAGTAAATAATATACTACGAGTAAAGATAGATACATTTATTATACACAATAATCAATTGCTGATTGCTGATACAGTGATGTGGAATACGTATGGTATTCAACACGTGATCAATTAGTAAAGTATGTTTTTACTAAAAGTAACTATATATGCTGATACTATAAGTTTATTGTTTGTGAATTCTATAATAATACTAAATCTTAAATAAGTGATCATACAGATAAAAATATGAGTTGAGAAAATAATATTCTACACGTTGTGAAAAATTATATGATTTAAACTCTAAATCATGGATAATATAAAATTTTAAACTTCGAATAAATACCTAACTACTTTAAAGTGGACAAAAGTTAATATTTTTGAAGATATTCTGATTGTACATTACATAGGATAAACTAACTATCTTACAAGTGACTTCTGACAAATGTCAGACTCTTACATTGCATTATTGGTCCATGTGATGTGTTAGGAGTGTGATCTTCCTTGTCCGCATTTATATGTTGATGCTCAGGTGTGTGTTTCCTTCTGAGTCAATTGACGACACATCAATCAGGACTGTTTCCTAGAATTAGAATAAATATAAGCGTTAATAATGACCTTCTATTAATAATGCACAACATAGTACGTAATTATATATTATGTAGTTGTTCCTTGTAATAATGTGGAATAGATGCTAAACATTAAGGTTATTTAGTCAAAACTTAAATATGTGTAATAATCACTCTAAATGTGTTAACTTTAGTAATATGTGCTACGATTAATAGAATTTTTATATAAGCGCATACCAATAAATACTAGAGTCCATTATTACTAACTTAAATTTACAATTTACACCGAAATAACTTAAAGTTATGTAGTTTTGGTATTAAATAATAGTATAATAGGACAACCTCAACTATTGAATTGATAGTGAATGCTTACGTTACTGAATATACTGAATTTGGATGAACAATGCTCTCACCGCAGCAAGGTATGCGTCATAATATCTTATCCTGTGACAATTTTGATATCTGGCGACCTTAATAGCACCTACAAATTGTTGTATGCATACCTGAAACATACAAATATAATTAATGACTTATTTAATAACATTTAATAAAGCTGTGATTAGGGGGCATTAACCGCCACAAGTTATCCTAGTGATAATTAATTATTAAATGGTTGTCTCACAGTGAACTGACATTTTATTAAGTTTATAGTGCTGAGAGTATAATTGATTATATGAGGTCTAATCTTACCATTAATGATTAACTCTGATGTCTATTATGTGGTCGTATGTGACGGTGTCCTTTTGAGGTTATACACTGTCCTCTCCACGTGAAGGAGGTGTCTTCCTTATTACACTGCGGATATCCGACGAACCCTCAGGAAAAATATATTAAGTAAACAATAACAACATAATAGGTTTGGCTAAATTTGATATAACATGCATTTGCTGTGTTAATTGGGGGTTGGTTATTATCATTATTAATATTGATATTTAAATGATATTACCTCGTGTTGCACCTATTGTATGCTACTGCGTTAATATAATTACTCAAAGGTGCATCCCTGGGTTTATTGCATTGTCGAAGTGTCACTCGTAGCGTTGAGGTTATGAACTCTCTCTCCTGAGTGAATCTCTCTTGGGAATAATAAATGTGGCAAACGGACATCGACGCGCCATCTATTGTATTGCGAGCGTACTCCGTACCCAAGCTTTTGGTACAATCATTGAGTGTGACATAGATAGGCAACTCGACGCGACTTGTACATTTTGTCCAAGTTACTAGATATAGGGGAATTCACTGAATTTTTGTATTTCTGCGTTTTCCTCGTTATATAAGTGATTTTCAATACCAAAGTAGTATTTGATCACGTAATTGATTAATTTTTTGATTAATTTTTATTAAATAATTACATTTATAAGTATTTTGCTTAATTTTACAATTATATATGTAATGTTATAAGCGTAACTCGCTATGCCTCAAATACTTCGTCCAAGTCACTAGATATATGGGAAATCCACTAAATTTGTACTTTAGTGTTTTCCCTCGTTATATAAACGATTACTATACCAAAAGTGGTACTTTATTACATAATTTGATAGTTTCTATTAAATAACTGCATTTTATATGCATTTTTCTCGATTTAGTAAATATATACATAATATTATACGCGTTACTTGTTATACTTTAAGTATTTGTCTAGGTTACTAGATATAGGGGAAATTTACTAGATTTTATATTTTTGCGTATCTCCTCAATACGCAAGTGATTTAACGCTAAAGCAGCATTATAATATAATGCATAATTGATCAATCTCTAGTAAATAATTACATCTTATATACATTTTGTTAGTTTAGCAATTTATACATGATATTATAAGCGCAATTCGTTATACCTTTTATGTTTCGTCGGGGTTACTAGATATGGGAGAAATTTACTAAATTTTATATTTTGCGTTTTTCTTGCTTATAGAATTGATCTCTAGTACTGGAATGGTATTTTGATGTTTAGTTGATTGTAGAGTTTATGTTAAGAGCTTAATTACGCCAATAAGTGCCCCCATATCTAGGGAAAGGTGAGATTTAAACAATTGCTTTGAACTTTCTGTTCTTTTTGCGTTCAGGCGTTATTTGCGCATAAATCATTATTAGTGGATAATTAATTATTATATTATAGTATTTGGCACACACTGATATATACGGAAGTTTAGTACATTGCGTTACTGATATATTACATATTTGTTGATTTGGAGTTTAAAGTCTATTAAATATTAGCGGCGTGATTTCTGCAGCTTCTCCTCCTCAATTAATTTTGAGGAATGGTTGATGGCTGTTTTTTTACGCCCTAAATAAATAAATAAATACAAACGCTATTTCCCTATATATTAAATTATTGTGTTAATAATGCTGCATGGATCCCTGATTTTGCTTAAGTAACATTAAGGGAATCTCTGTAGATTCGTTATACTGCTTTGTAAAACTTAAATTTAATTGTCGAACTTTAGTTACTTAATTGTTAATCCTTATATGATCATATGCAATATGGAGTCAATCGATGAAATGATAGCACGAATGCATGAAGCTCAACTCACACCCACTATGATCTTGGGATGTGCAATAAAATCAATAATTAGGTTGCGTAATATTGATTTACCAAATCGGACTGAACTTAATATAGAATTAAATAATGTGGAAGCTTGTATTAGATGTATTTACAATCAAGGTCGTAAGATGTTCTATGCGCGATCTTATTTGATGGGCAAGATTGCAAGATACGAGTCTCTTATCAAGGATATTAATACAGACAGTACTGTAAGAGTTAATTCTCCACCAGCTGCTGAAAGAATTGACACAAATTTAAGCAGGCTAACTTCTAATATATCTGGATCGCATGGAACGGCTTCTGCGAATCAATCAATTATGGAGGCTATGGAGTCGCAACTTACCGACATCGAGAGGATGCTAGAAATGGATAGAACCGAAGATGCCTTAGTCCTTATTGGTCGATCGATAAATGATAAGAAGGCCGAGCTTGAGAAATTGGGTGAAGATTTTCTCTCAATCTCATGCTCCATAACTAGTTCTGAAGGCAAGAACACTCTGGATGGATCTATTATAAGACAACCCGGCAAGTCTATGGATAATGAGCATAAGGGAAGGACACCCTTGGAAAAACCGAATTTATCATATACAAACATGGCTAGCACAACTGACAAAGATTTGAACTTACCGTCGCAGGAGGAATTCGGAGCCTCCAGTGATCGGCTTGGCGGAGTTGTTGTCCCCGGCTCCGCCCAGTCGTCATCTCATGAGGGGCTGACCTGTTCGTTGCCGTCGGGCGAGCAGGTCAATATGGCTACCGCGGACAATAGTGGACCTGGCGAGATGGTCTGTGAACGAGCGGAGGCTGCTGTGGCAGGTAATGAGGCGCCAGTTGATCTGCCTGTAAGCAGTACACAAATAGAGGGTCCGCCTGAAGCTGGCAGAGTTGGTTCAAATACACCATCTGTTGAGTTTATAGGGAATGTAGCACCTACAGAGCAAGCAGCCAAGCGTAAGGCTGACGAATCCCCAGAAAACGATTTAATCGCTCCAGTTGGTAGAAGTCGTAAATTTCGCGCACTCGTGAGCTCTGATGAGCAAGATTCTGTCGATGAGACACCAGAGGGTGAAGAGCCCACTGCAAGCCCAGTCAAAGAGCGAATACTGGGCTCTCCCTCTTACGGTAGAATCAGAGTACATCGTAAATTAAGACGACAGTGGCAGGCTTGCGGCTGTTGATGGTGATAAGCAATTGATCGAATCGAGTCCTGTGGTGATCTCAGACGACGAAGATAATATGGATACTGCTGCTGCGACGGATCCTTCCTTCAGTCAACCTGATGTTCCTAAAACGATAGTTAGGAAGAAGAAGAAGAATTCCCCGCCTAAAACGACGAGTGGCAATACCGAGCCTGGATTGGATGACTCGGCTCTTACTGGTGAATCCAACGTTGATATTAGGATTAGCGTTGATGAGCTTGTGTCTATGAACAACGCAGAGGTCGCTGAGTATGGCTTATCCTTACTGAATGAGACGGAGGTTTTACGAACTAAGAGTAAAAACCTCTCTGGTAAGTACAGTGGCCGTTGGAGACGATATTTGGTGCAGCTAGAGGATGTCGTGCGTGCTTTTAGCCGAAAGGTGCAATCTCAGGGCGATGTTAACCACCTGAGACGTAGGAACCAGGAGCTCCTGAATCAAATGAAAGACATGCAAAAGCGTGAGGAGGAAACGCAAGCTGAACTCAAACGCGTTAACAATATGATGGCTGACATGCAGAAACGGATAAGTTCGCTTGAGGAGGGTCGTAATGAAATGCCTAAAACAAATAGGGCTAATAAAACTAGAGTGCATATTGCCGAGTATGATGATACTGGCTCTTCTTCGGCCCGATCCCCTCTGTAGATCTTAGAAGGAGGAATGAGAACAGTATTGTGGAGCGGGCTTTAGAAACTGCAGGGTTGACATGTAGTCCGCCTCCATCTACAAGCAGAGACGGCCCATCTTATATAGCGTCTAGGGTGTTTCGTAACACGAAAAACGAATCTAAGGTGCCTGATAATAGGGCTTTTCGTCCTCCCCTGAGAACCTCGCAAGACAAGGGGATCAGGATTATTGAAAACAGGCAAGTTGTTCCCCCTAAAGTAGTGAAGCACAAACCTGTTTCTCCGAGGATCATGCCTGCGGTGGGAGAGGGGAAAAATTTCCCTCCTCTTCCTTCGTCTTCCTACTCTCGACGGCATTCCAGGAACTCTCTGGATACAGTGGTTAGTGGCCGACGGCCTGATGGCGATAGCAGGCCTGTGATTGGTAAGCCTAAGGTTGGCAGGCGTAAGGTTGCTGTAGTTACCCTCACCAGCAAAACGGGTACAAATGCCTCGTATGCGGACATTCTTGGAGCAGCTAGGAGAACACCTCTCTGGATGTCTTAGGAATCCAAGAAACTAGGATTCGTCGTGCCTTTAATGGAGGTTATAAGATCGAGGTTCCTGGCGCTAATGGTGTTGAGTTAGCCAGTAAATTAAAGGATCATCTGGAGGTGATTCTTCAAGATGTCGCTAAAGTGGACAACCCTGTTGCTCGTGGAGAGCTAAAAATAACTGGCCTGGCTCCCTCTACCTCAACTGAGGAGATTAGGGAGCAATTGACCCAGATTAGCTGTTTTCCTCCAATAAATTTTGGAATTAGCGAGGTCAAAACTATGCGTGATGGCATGGGGATTGTATGGGTACAATGTCCCCTAAATGCTGCGATTGCTGTTGCTGAAGTCGGGCGGCTGCGTATTGGCTGGACATCGGCGAGAGTCGAGCTACTGAAAAAACGTCCAGTCCAGTGCTTCAAATGTTGGAGATTTGGACACGTTCGAACAAACTGTGCTGCCCCCGAGGATAGATTCGGTTCGTGTTTCCGATGCGGTAACAGTGCGCATAAAGCTAGGGACTGTTCTTCCTCCCCCCATTGTGTTATATGCTCCGATATTGGTAAGAGTTGCAATCACCGTATTGGATCATTTGTTTGCCTAGTCAATAATGGCTACGATAATACTAAGCGTGTAAATCAGAGGCAACCGGCGCAAATTGTTACACATGGTTATTAATATATTACAATGTAACCTTAATAGGTCGTGGCAAGCATTAGATCTCTTGCGTCAACAATCTATTGAGCTTAAAATTAACTTGTGTGTGATTTCTGAGCCTCCTTATGGTTCTAGTGTTCCCGCTAATTGCTACTATAGCGAAGATGGTACAGCTGCCATAATGATTGCTAAAAGTAACTTAAATATAAAATGCATATATGTATAGATAATATTATTGTATTAGAGTGCTCTGATTTCTACGTGGTATCATGCTACATATCACCCAATAGCTCTCGAATTGAGTTTGAGGCTTTTATTGACAAGTTGGATGGTCTACTTAAACAACTGTGCTACAAGAAAGTATTGGTATGTGGAGATTTCAACTCTAAGTCTCTTCACTGGGGTTCGAAGTTAACCGATAGCAGAGGTTCGCTTATAGACCTCACGATGTCATCGAATGGTCTATTGCTAGTTAACATAGGTGATCAACCTACCTGTATTCGGCCCCAGGGTTCCTCAGTCGTGGACTTAACTTGGTCTTCCTGTAATATGATAAGA